TGTACTATGCACCGGTGTACTATGCAAGCGATACTATGCACTTCAATCGATGTACTTCACTCAGATGTACTTCACTCTGTGTACTAACTCTGTGTACCTGATCCTCTGTGTACTTGATCCCATGTACTTCTCTGAAGGGCTCTGCACGGAAGAACCCTTTGCGATGCTTTCGGGAAAAACAAAAACAACACGCACACACACACACACAAATCAGCCGAGGTGCAACAGCGGCGAGTGTGCAAGAGCAGCGCCTCGGCCGCGCCAAGACCTGGTGAACACAATGAGGCTCTTGATCACGGGTAGCCCTGATCCCTGATCCCAAGCCTCTTTTGGAAAGAGCCTTCGGGTTGCAGAAGGACCTACATCTTAATGCTCCTGCCGTGCCATTCATGTTGGCTCACCTCTCTTCGATAATTGTCTGAAACTTGGCAAGCATGTTGCTTCAAAAGTCGTTGCAACTACCTGCCGGACAGCCCGTTCATCCGTACGTCTCCCTGCTTGAAACTCTACTAGCCATGCTCCGAAGCTACAACATGTGACAGTTCCTGCGGCTCCGATCATGCTTTCGAGGCGTACTTCCGATGCTCCCTGCCTGGCTCGTGAGCCAGCTGTGCAGTGAGCGGCAGCCATTGCACTTCAGAAAATCTCAGTGGAGGTGCAGGCCAATGACTGGCAAGGCTAGGTCTTAAGCACTAGCCCGGGCAGGTTTGGAGTGCTTCAGGGGCATTTGGAGGGGCACAGGCGCCTACCATCGTTGAACTGGAAACATGAAATAGTATAGCCAGTATAGCCCGGCAATTTGTCAAGTTGCACTGTTGTCACGTGCACATGTATTGCTTCCCCTGTCATGTGAAGCTGAGCCAGCGTAGATAGAGAATCATAATCAAACACGCTTCTTCCTTGCCGTGCTCCGTACGTAGTATGCAATCGCACCTGCGATTCCTCAAGAACATCAAGCATATGCTGCGACAGAAACCCAAAATCAGCTTCTCCGACAAAATACCATCGCCCATCAAAGTCACCTGGAGTTCACCCGTCTGCATTAATTTCGTTCTACACTTGCTTATAGCTGCTTCGTGATCGCTTTGTCACCAGAACTGGGTCACCGCATCCACGCGGTCCAGAATCGTCTCGGGTCTGGCGCGCAGGGACTGGAAAGTGCCTGTCAGGCCATGTTATCACAAGCACTGGGTCGTGTTGAAGATGTTCCGCGACAGATGCAGGCTCATTGCGTAGGGACGCTCGACGACTCATGATCCCACAACGTCATTCCCCCTGGGCAGCCACCGACTTGAGCACATGAGATAGGGGCATAGGATGAAAATAACATCACTACTCTGTTCAGGTTCGCCTGGTGCTGCCATCACAGCTTCCGCTCGAAAGGTCACATGTCCTGTTGTGCTGTAATGTGCTGCAGCTCCTTCAGCGGGGAAGAACTGGGAATCAGGTCGAGTGGGTCAACCAAACACTGAAATCGGTCTGAGACCACATCTGGCTTGGAGTCCGAGAGTCCTGCATGTCTTGATGGGTCATCACCTAGCTGCTGGACCTAGCTTGTCTCAGGATACGCACATCTAAAGTCGTCGAAGATCGCTGCTAGTCATCATGAGCTGGCCGGCAGCGCATAGCTCCTTGAGAAGAGTCTTCGGAGCACGGCGTATCATCACGCGAAGGCTAAAAACAACCTCGCTACAAGTGGCTATAAGAGCTTATCTTTTCATGCTCATGCCAGGGTCTAGCGCAAGAGCTTGCTCTTGAACAGAGTCATCAAACTCTCTCCCTCTACGAGTAGGGCAAACGGGCACCAATCCTTGGGTTGCGATATGCATGACCCTTCTGTACAGGCTGTGCGGTGCAACCGCGCAGGAGAGCCCCTTCCGGAAGGACGACTTCCCGTTCCATCCAGGAAGACAAAGCGTCCCGGTTGCAAACACCCGACCCAGCGGAAAACCAGCAGCTCGCTTTGCATGGCAGAAGCAGGCCACGAGCCGGATCGACTGGTTTGCCAGATGGCAACCGGAAGTTCTAGAGGCCTCATGACCGAACCATTCTCTTTACAGGTCCCGTATGGGAGAGGCACGAGAGATGCTTCTTGTGGCTTCAGCTCGTGGCTTCAACTGGGCACGAGACAGCTTGGCAGAGCAGGCCCACACGGTCGAGAAACTAGAGAATTCCTGACAACATTCTCGCTACTGCTACTTATTTCGCGGGTGGACCATGTGCTTACCCTAACCTACGAGCAGTGACCCGACGCCGGGCCGCACATTACCCTTGCTGCACATGTAAGACACATGCACCTCTCCGTCAATCGAGGAGGATACAGTCCTCAACTCGTCACGATGTCAGGTGAGAGACCTCAAGGGCCCAACCCACGGAATGCGGGCTAAAATCTTGTTCACTCTGGCAGATCATCATGAGTTTTGCACCGCTGCACCGAACAAGAACGGCCGCATCCTGAACAAAACTGAAAGCTTGCACGGGCCGCGAAAGACTTGCAAGATGTCGCGCCGTTCACCCATGTTTGCAAGATTTGGAAGCAAGACATGTCAATCAACTCCCTCGGTAGAATCCACTGGCACAAGGCAGAACCAGGCGGAGGAAGCATGCTGGCACGAAGCAACGGCTTGACGCCGAACCTGCTCATGATGTCACCGTCGCCGTTGAGCCGAAGCGACACGCCCTGCGATCCCAAGATGAAGGCAAAGGCATTGGGCATAAGTCGTGTTCAACATTCCCCTCGCCCGAAACTTCAGACTGACGGGACCAGGACTGGGACCAAGTCTCGCCTCCTCCCTCCGGCTTCACACCCCCCAAGCTTCAAAGCCTGCAAAGCGCCCAGGCCTGGACCACAATCATGGCCACCATGAGGTTCACAAAGCGTGCGTCAAAACGCACGCCGTGCTTTCGACCGAGCCTCAGAGAATCTTTGCCGCGGTAACTGCTACCCCGCCCCGAGTAAGGAAGAGTTTCGCCGAGGGAGCCGAGGCCTGAACAGCAAACTTTGACCCATGAGGGATCCAGCGTTCAGTTTCGAGAGCCTGGCTTTGACCATATGTGTTCGTTTAATGTCGCACAATGCCATGCGCTGCCTGAAGCCGACCCCTTTTCCGGAGCGGATGAGGCTGGCAATCCCATTGACAAATACTTCGGGTTGCACCACGTCCTGTTGCAGCAGATGCTTAGAGCATGATGCTCCAAAGACCATCCCATCCCAACTCCAAACGCAGCCAAAGGACAAGAAACAAGCTTGTGGCTGTAAACTGCGAAGCTCCCTCACTTCCTCCCTGGCCTACCCATTCGATGCACTGGCTCGTTCAGTCGTGGATCCCGGATGCAACGATCCTGTCCTCTGGCTTGCCTCCAACCCTCTCACTCAGCGAGATGAGCAAGCGCCTCAGCTTGTTCGGCAGCCGATCATCCTGACACGCACGGTGTGGAAGCTGTGTTATGCGCCTTCCGACCCCTGCCATCCTGTGATGAGAAACGAAGACGGCGAAGACCAAGCGTTCACTTGTCCGTGGCATGGCATCGCTCAAAAATCAAATTGCAAACAGCAACATGCAGAAACTACGACCTCAAGTAAAGTCATGACTTTCTGAACAGCACAAGTACACGAATAGTAGCGACCACGAGGTGACGAGATTGGGGACGGAAGCTGAAGCTCAAAACTGTGTAACCAGGCATTTGGACAACAAGTCAGAGCAACTTCATTGAGGCTTGCACGCCACATCCTCCTCAGACTTTGTCAGGAAAGCCTACACAGAGAAAAGTTGCTTGGCGATGCAGCCACATCTGCCACAGCTGATGCTTTGCTGCACAACCTGTCACAACTTCGGCCAGCTGAACTGCAGCATTTACGAACCCTCTTGCCTTCAGCATCGCAGACAAGTCTTCGCCGGCTTGGCCGGACAGGTCCTTTCCGGTCACAGAGATAGTGAACCCCCTGTGTTCTTCTCCAGAATGCCAGGAATCCAGGGCGAGTGCAATGACGAGACCGCAGTCAAGCAAGACCAACTGCACCTGCATCATTCACATTCCACCCATTCTCCGGCGCAGCAGGCTAAGAGCTCGAAGACCAAGATTACTATGCCAAGATCTTGGTCGGGTTTGCTTTGGTGAGGGGGGTTGGCTCAAAAGCACAGAGGCGAGGGGAGGCAAGTGGAGGAAGGAACGAGAGAATGAAGGAAGGAGGCCGAAGAGACGTAAGGAAAGATGAAAAAATGAGTGGTGAAAACCATAGATCAATTAGAGGGAAAAATGAAAAGACTGCAAGAAAGGAAAATGTGAGGGAGGCAAGTTTGGAAGCTTTTGCGGAAGAACGAGGAAGGGAAGGAACTGTTCCTGTCTTTGTATGTGGATGGACATGCATAACCGCAATCAACAACATCGAAAAACATTCCTTCATGTAGATATGACACATACGACATGTCACATCGTCGTCCGTGCGTACCTCCATCCATCGATGCATCCATACACACATACATTGGCTTGGCACGGATAGCTGCGACGAGCGACAGACAGGACAAAACGACGACAAAGTGAAGTGCAGGTTCAGATTGGAGCAACCGTACATGAGAAATGCATTCAAGCGAGAGCTGGCCACCAGCTGGAGTAACTCTTCGCAGGTGCGCCAGTGCGGCATGTACGTTTCCACGTCCTTGCACTTGTGGTCTTCGGTATAGTAGCTGAGTCACAAGTGGACCCTCAGCCCTCTGCAGCAAAAGATTGATATATGTCATGTTCAGACGTGTGCGCACACACGCACACACACACTTGAGTTGGAGTCAAGCTGACATGGAAATCACGAAAACATGACGTCGCAACCTCAATCAATGGTTCATGGAATCACATGTCGTCGCAATCTCAATCGAATGTTCATGGAATCACATGACGTCGCAATCTCAATAAATGGCTCACCGAATAACATGACGTGGCAATCTCAATCGATGGCTCACGGAATCAATGCATGATCTGCAGGTACGTAGGAGTGGCGTCCCACTCCTAAGTCACAGGTCGGGATGGGTGTCTTCATTGGCACCTGACCCATCCTTCCCCCAGGTGCCCCCTGCGGAGAAACACTGTTCTGATGGTTGGCAATACACAACATGGCGACGATCGGTTTGGATGAACGATCTCAGAAACATCGAGCAACACTTCACGCGTCCATGTGGTACCCTTCGCATCAGGGCTTGCAACACACAAAAGCTACATGAGCCGGCACATGTTCTCATTCATGCATGTTGGAGATCGTCGCGAGTGAAACCGAAACACGTGTACGTGTCCACTAACTCCTGGAGCTGTCTTCTAACCACGCTCTTTGAAAAAGCTTGCCGTTTGATGAGGCATGACCGCGATCGAAAACCTGCCAAGTTCAACCTCCGAGATCCTGCGCTGTTGATCGGTCGATACTGCCAACTTTCGTTCGGAATGCGAAACTCCACTGTGCCAGCGTCAATATCCACCATGCATCCCAACAGCTCACCAGCATCACATGCCTCGAGGACGACGGGATCACGATAGAACATCGGACTCACCAGAGACTGGAATGCATGACTCTGCAGAAAACCCCTTGGGAACACCAGGAACCGGTTGTCCACATACCTCCCAAACCAACACATGGCCTTCCACGACGTTTTTGCAACATCAAAAGCTTGCAGCCCACATAGCTTCCTCAACACTGACGGTCAAATCGCACAACGCAAGACTTACTTGGTTCCCAATGGGGGAACCCCGTATTTGCCGGAAACATCGGCCCATGATGGTGAACTTGGCGAAAAGGAAAGACAGTGCCACAAGCTGTTTCACGTCTCCTGCTGAAATCTGCCGCATCACCGCACTCCGAAAGACTCGCGCCTTGCCTCGCAACACCCGGCCTTCTGAGAACTTTTGCCGATATGTACCGCGAACATGAAAGCATCCGGATGATTGCACGCTCGATTCTGGAAGTACTGCAAAAAGACAAGCTCTACCGCCTTCTGGATACGTTCCACTGGCAACGAGTTGAAAAACCCAACCAAATCGTCACAAACCACTTCAAACTCAGTGACATCACGCCATGGAATGACAACTTCTCGTAGGTACCCATGCAAACTTGGCCACAACCTGCTCAAACTCAGTCGCGCAAGGGTTTCTGGAAATACCTCTTTTGTGACTTCACATAGAACAAGTGATGCAACCTTCAACGCGGGTGCCAACATCGACATGCGATACGAGATAATGCTCCTAGCGGCCTGGTAGTCCTTTTTCTTCTTCAGAAAAACGAATGCATGAGGAATGCGTGCCGTCAACCTGAAACCCCACGGATGTCTTCGCAACAAGCTGGCAGGTATCTGCTTTGCATCGGTCTGACGATAAACTTGCGGAAGGAAGGGAAGCTCTTCACACACATCGGTATCCTCGAACGTGGCATGCACTCCTTTCCGAAACAAATCCGGGCAATACACCATAACCTGTTCATAGGCATGATCGCGACCGTGACATACAAGACGAGAGAGATGCTGTTTCACTCGGCACACATCTTTAACTGAAAAGCGATGAGACACAGCTCTCAACTGCATCGGCCATTGTTCTTCAACGAAACCTTCCCAAGCAGCAACGACTTAATTGATGGACTGGGAACCTGTGAACGCGAGCCCATTTCTGTACCAGCTTGCGCGTGACGCTAAGGAACCCATGTTTGCTGGGAAAGACCATGGTTTTGGCCGAATAGCCGACCAACTTCTTCAAATGCGATGACATGGACAATCGCTCAGCCGGAGATGCAACACGCCCGCCCACGGTCGCCAGTTCTGGATGCTGGCTCAACACCTCTTTGCACTTGCAAAACGATTCCCCAGGCAATGACTTGAATTTGTTAAACCATGAGGGAGAACAACATCTTGCCCACGCTCTGATGACTTCCTTCCACCACGGTCTTGGACGGCAAATGAAATGGCAGCAACACATTCTGAAACTTGCACCGTACATCCCGCAACCAAGCGACGACAAATCCTGGGAACTTTGAATGAGCAAGAAACGGCACAACCAGAGGTTGATTCCTTCGGGGATTCGGGGGACATCTTGATGTCGAAACTTCAGAACCTCTGCCAAACGCCTGCGTGCTCTGGACCTGAATGGCTCTTCCAAGTTGGCCGCGAGCTTATACAACGCATAAACATGATCATCATGCCATCGCACGGAACCCAAACTAGGCTGCATGTTCCATGCTCGACCGTCATGTGTCGTGAGATCATGAAGAACCATCCACGCATCTTCACGATTCAACGTCAAGTTTGCCGGCTTGCTCCGGAAATGTTGATGCACATACCTGGCACGCCTCCGCAGCTTCAGAAAAAACCTCCTTCCAGTCCGCCGTGCCGCGAAAGAAAAAACGAGCTTGTTGGTTTGCGGGTAGTTCAACCCAGGCCTCCACATCTGCAAAAGACGTTCTCGCACACACGAGCACTCACCGCACATGAACAAGGAAAAAGAGCCACCGACACGTACTCAAAGAAGGACTTCCGATGAAACCAATACCGGACAGACGCCTCGGCCTGAACTGTAGCGGTGGCGAACAACTGCTTGAATTTCCGGTACCGAACTGCATCACGACGGGCCAGCGTAATGGTGGCAGACCCAACATAGAACATGGAATGTTTTACAGATTTCGAAGACGGCGAAGTGGAAGATACCAATCCTTTCCGTGCCACGGCCAACATCGGAATACGAACATACACAACATGCGGCTGAGAAAAGCCACTTCCTCGATACGTTTCGGGGGACACTCCACACTGCCGGAACCTGTCTTTCCAAAGCTCTAGCTGACGAACAATCTTTTTTGACCGAAACAGCAGCACCAAGAACAACATCCCAGCAAAAAACAACCCAAAACTCGCCAGGGCTGATGAGCCGAACGCTGGAGCATACCTCAAGAATTTGAGCATTGCATACCATTGCGCTTTGAAGCGCTCAAAGTCAGCTGCATCACACGTCAGAGCTCACTTCGCCATGTGGTGCGCCGCAACGATCACTCGAACAAGATCCTTGTTTGACATACCCACAGACAACTGTACTGGGAGGCCCCACGCGGAAGCAATCTCCTTGAGAGATCCGATTTTATCATCCGATCATGTTTTGACCAATGGCTCAATGGCTTTGTAATCCGTCAAGGCTTGGGACTGAACTTCACTTGGAAGCTTCTTCAACCACGAGGTTACGGAGGATGTTCCAGCTTTTGCTGGACAGTCAGCCCGTAGCGGCTTCTTGGGGGGATCCAGCTCGAACAACTGATCTTCGGTCACATGGAAATCGCCGGTTTGTTCTGGCCCCTTCTTACCAGCGACACGCAACCTCTTGTTTGCAGGCAAGGAAGATTCACCACTGAACTGCTTCCGGTTGGAAGCCTCTCGTTCTGACGTTTGACCCCGGTGAGGTTGCGACTTCAACTCTGCAATCTGTGCCTCAAGGTGACGAATGCGGGCAGTTTGAGACTCCTCAACGGCCGAAACACTCCACTTCTGAACCTGATCAACAATCCACTTCACGAACTTATTCATGGCATCATTCGTGTCTTCGCGAGACAAGCAGACTTTTCAGACAGCTGGTTTTCATGTTGAGCCCATTGGATTGCTGCTGACTCAATGTCGATGTGTCGCGAACGGAGATGTCCATACACTGACCCTCCCGCACACTACGGGCAAACACCACGGAGGTGTAACACCCGGCTGACAACGCTCGCAGCCCCCAGTTCTCCCACCCAAGCCATGTCAGCTCGGGGAGGGAAATTTCCTCAATACGCTTTCCCGCAAGCCCCCACTCACGAGACCACTGCGTTGCTTGTACGGTCTTGAAAAGCTTCCTGCCACCAATCATTCGGGAATCATGACACTCTCTGGTAGATTGGAACTCCTCTGGTAAGTCAAGCAAATGGCTTTTCTTTCCATGCGGGGAGAAAGCATCCAATTCATCATCATGCACGGAACGACGCCGAGGTACCGGACTGCGAGGTGACGAATACTCATGGCGGACTCTGGCACTACGTAAAGACATGGTCTTTACTGGCCACACAATAAGGCACGATGGAGGACTTTGGGCCAAACAACACTTAGGGAAAGCACTCGCAGCGGTCAGCAGCATCGAACGACCACATGTTCCTGAACATCACCGACAGATCATGACAGATCCAGAATCATCGCAACACACGAGCCAAGCAAACACAAGACATGCATGGAAAGCATCCTTCCACAGCCCACGCAGTCTTGAACCGTCGACTGTGGATTACTACGCTGCGGTCTGTACAACTGCAAGTCCCACCACTTGTGCCACCTCTGGGTTGATGCACCATCTCTTGTTGCGAGGATTGTGAACGACATGACTCGAGAGCATTCCTGCTGTTCCGCATAAACGCCCCCTGACTCCACTTTCCGGTGCGGCTTCTCAGTCGCAGCTAAACCAACCACGACGACACCAGCTTGATTCTTGCAAGATGCCCAACATCGCAAAATCGGCCACACTCCATCCCCGACATCGTTCGTAGCTGCGCAGAAAAACCCAGTTGTGGGATACTGCTCGTCTGGAAATGACCGACGCATCTTTCGAATTCCAAGACACCTAGGGGCCCAACATCATCAGACCCATGAGCGAAAAGGTATGAATGCCAACCACTTCTTGCCAACAACTGCGGGCACCCAAAAGCTGGCTTCCACATATTCATCAAAGGTACGATCCATACTCGGTGTTCTTGGTGATGCAAGATTTGGAAATTTGTGGCCACTTCTGATGTCTTGAACCGTGCTGCTGCAAGAAATGACGTCAACAGATGCAGGTTGCTGCTGGATAGCTTCACACCCAACACCTCCATTGGCAACATGTCGTCAAGATGGGTTTTCATGGCCATGAAATCGTCATTCACGAAGCCCTCGGAATACCGAATAAACCTTTCGACGGCTGGCAGACTAAGTTTTGTTCTGAAGCACAGCGTGTCGGGATCCATCCCAGCATGATGCTTGGTTGGCGGGGCTGCAATGGAATCCGGTGGTTTTGTGCGACGTGGTTTCTTACCACGACTGTCTTCAGCCTCATCTACACGACATGTCCATGCACTTTGGAATTCATCTTCGAATGAAGCTTCGCCGACTGCTGCCGCAATGTTGTCAGGACGATATGCTGGTACTGGTGGGGTGTGGCGCCGCAACAGCAACAGCTTCGGATCACAACTTGGCTTCGGTGTTGCCATGGACTGCTTTTCAACAAGGTCCGAGACGACAGAATGCGAAGGACGGCGATGAAGTACTGCCACTGATGAAGCTTTCGATGTAGTCAACAGAGGCACTCCGCGATATGGGTCATGCTCCCTAGCCCAGACAGGTAGGTCTGACCAGTCACCGGGTGCCGGAGGAATTGCCAAACCATTGCTGAACGCCATGCCGACTACAGGCCTTGCAACACACAAAACGAACATGATCACAATACTACACACAACCACTTTTGGATCATTGATCAACCGCTCAGTAGTGTAAACGCGTTTGGTCACGAAGTCTGGTCCTGTGATCTGGTCAAAGGATTCTGGTCGATTTTGATATGGTCCCATGAAGCTGGTGAGGATGCCACCAATGTAAGCAAAAACTCTCCCGCTGATTGTCTGTAGCGATAGTGGACGGCAACGATCTTACATAAACCTTGTCGTACCCTTCACTTCATGCACATACGATGCCCATCCTGCAACTATGCTCAAGTGACACTCTGCGGTTGCTCCTCAATCCAACAACAAGCCTTGCATGCTGTCGGAGTTACATTCAAACAGCTGATGCAAAAACACCGTTCGCGAGCGCGCTGACTTTCGACACACAGGCAACATCTTAAGCAAGCATTGCTCCTCCACATACACTGGTCATGATCATGTTCTATGCTGGGCGATTCTTGGGACCCTCTGCATAAACGCAGGGAGTTCACGACAAGCACCCAATGGGAAGGCCTGCCGACACTCACACACTTGAGTTGGAGTCAAGCTGACATGGAAAACACGAAAACATGACGTCGCAACCTCAATCAATGGTTCATGGAATCACATGTCGTCGCAATCTCAATCGAATGTTCATGGAATCACATGGCGTCGCAATCTCAATCGATGGCCCACCGAATAACATGACGTTGCAATCTCAATCGATGGCTCACGGAATTAATGCATGATCTGCAGGTACGTAGGAGTGGCGCCCACTCCTATGTCCTATGTCACAGGTATTGGCACCTGACCCATCCTTCCCCCAGGTGCCCCCTGCGGAGAAACTCTGTTCTGATGGTTGGCAATACACAACATGGCGACGATCGGTTTGGATGAACGATCTCAGAAACATCGAGCAACACTTCACGCGTCCATGTGGTACCCTTCGCATCAGGGCTTGCAACACACACATTCCATCCATCCATCCTTCCCTGCATGCATGCATGCATGCATGCTTGCATGCATACACACACACACACATATCTACACACCTACACACCCACACACACATATATATATACACATACCACAAACAAACACACATACACACAAATAGACATGCACACGCAAATGCACATGCACATACACACAACACAGGACACAGGACACATACATTGATACAAACATACACATACCCATACACATGCACAGAGATGTAAACAGTCACACACAGACATACATACATGCATACATAGATAGACAGAAAGCTGCCTGCCTTCCTACACCTACCCACCTACCTAGCTGCCTACAGACGTACATGCATATGTTTATGCATACGTACATGCCTAAATACCTACAGACAAACCTACATTCATCCACACATACATACACACATACATACACACACATACATACATACATACATACATACATACATACATACATACACACACACATACATACTTACACACATACATACAAACATACATACATACATGCATGCATGCATGCATGCATACATAAATACATACATGCATGCTCTTTGACTTTGAAGGCGCTGCCTGGTCACACATAGCTACGTACGACCTACATACATACGTACATACACATGCAGATGTACAAAGGTACGAACGCACAGATATAAACCTATCCGCTCATGACAAGATGCACCTTCATACCTAACCCAGACACCCTAAACACTAAACCTGTCCCAACTCCAGGACCTATGCTCATCGTGTGCGTAATCCCCGTGAACAGGAACAAGCCTTAAACCCTAAATCGCCGAAACCTCTTCCCTAAATCCCTAACTCTAGTGCTCTGCCGAGAAACGGTCAGCCCTAAATCCTAACCCTTGCCTTACACTTTAAATGCTAAACCCTAAAGCACAAGCTTGCACGAGAACATCTTCACATTAGGCATAGCTGCACCCCAAGCAAACACACAAATGGTAATTCATAACGAAAGCCGCAAACCCTGCTGAATCCCTATCGCCTAGTAGCCAGCCTATCTGTGAATCACACTTGAAGCACTTTTGGAAGCAAGTGATGAATGCATCCTCTCCGCGATTTTAATGGCATACGCGCATGGGCGGCCAGAAGAGCCGTCCCTCCGCGTCCACTGTCGGGCGGGATGGCGGGAAACAAGCAAACACTGCAGCTTCCGCCTGCAGTCACTCTTTGCTCCAACTGGCACGGCTTACATAGACTTTAGGGATTGCCTGACGCAGGATGCGACAGATTCCAAACGTTTTAATGCGCACCACGATCTCGCGTACACAGGAATGATTCCGGGAGATCGATGTGGTATTAATTTTCACAGCTTTTACTGGGCACAAAGTCTTGGTGCAATCGCGGCTCTTCAAACCGATAGAGGCAACCGGTGCATTCACCATTAAATCGGTGTCCGACTGTCGTTCGATTTAGGTCGGTAAGCTCGTGCCCCTCGCGAGCGCCTTACTAGCCCCCCTTCTTTAAGTGTGACTCCTCCTTGTACACTGCAGCCTGTTCGCCGGTTCAAGGAGGCATGGACAATGCCATACTATATAAGGTCTTTGGGATGAGCGGCTGCAATCACACAAAGGCCATCTTGCGTCGTGTAAGTACCCTAAACCCCCTACCACCCAAAACCCTCTAACCCTAAAGCTAAACCCTGCCAAACCCCACAACCCTAACCCTGATCCGAAATGCAGATATATAAGCGCCTGAAAAGTTGGATTGGCCTGTGGGGTACATGCAATGTGTCGCATCGTTTCCAGCACTGTAAAACGAAACTCGTGACTCCTACCCCCACATCCCACCGTAGACTTGAACCCACTAAGCCCTGAGTACCTGAAGCCCGAAGCCCTAAATTCCTAAACTCAGATCAACCCACAACCGGAAACCTGAACAGTCTTGTAATTATTCCGCACGACTTCAGCAACCAGGCCAAAAACTTTTCAAGTATACATCAGATACATCTAGACACCGTCACCTACCTAAAGGCTCAGACGTCTGCCGTTGACAATGCAGGACTAAAGACTCAAGCCTACACTCCTAACTCCACTATCAACCGCGAACCCACCAAACCAAGCGCCTCGCACCCCTAAACTCCCAAACCTCACTGAGCCCCAAGGTAAGGAAAACCCTGCGAAACCCTAACCTCGTGACTCCACATAATTCGAACACCTTACTTAATCTGTGGCAGCAACATGAGTACGAGGGACTGTGAAAAGAGCTCGAAATCTGGAAGCGCAAACGCGAGTCGCAACCAAAATATGCACGATGCGGGCAGAGGCACAATTTCGGGAGGTGGATTTTTCGAAAGTACCACTTAAGCTCTCCAGACAAACACGCTAGGAGGCGAAAAGGTATTCTGCTTACAAACCGTTATCAGTTACCACACATTTGTTTGTGCAGATCAGAGGTGCCATCTTCATCATAAAGGCCATGCAAGTAGAGACAATCAAAACAAGGCCGCGTGATAGCCCCGCGAAGAGCAAAAGGCAACATGCTGTCTGCCAACATGCACTGCCTTGCCAGAGGCGTCGACTGGTGGCCGCCACAATATGTTTCCTGCACACCACTCAATGCTCTTCTGGAGGCCTTGCTGAGACTTGCTCTCGACCACTTGACATTGCCAGGCCTGGATGCAGGTCACCATGCACCTTGGACGCTGATCCATGGCTCACGCACTGCCATGGAAGTGTGCACTTGCTGGATTCGGAACGAAGCGGTACTTGAAGACCATGGCCCAGAAGCTGTCAACCTTGGACAATGTGAAAATTACTTCAGACGGTTGCTCCAACTTCTCTGAGCACGCCACAAGGATTCGCCAAGCCTCTAGCCTGCAGCATGTTTCCATGACGGTACGAATGTTAGCCGGCGAGAAGTCATGTAATGCAATGCCGAGACTCAACTGTCACGAGTGGCTTCGAAACCCCCTTTGTTCGTATGGTCAATTGGCAGTTTGTCGTCGCTGCCGTGGTGGTGGTGCTAGGAGTAGGAAGCGGGGGCGAAGGAGAAGCAATCCCAGAAGCAATAGCAGCCGCAGCAGTGGAATCCTTAGGCCCGGCCTTGGCCGATCCGGGCCATCTGAGTCGAGCAAGGCGGTCAGAGGCTCCCCCTCCTGCCACAAATGCAGTATGTAACAGTACTCTTTGCTTAAGGTTTCGACTCTAGCTAGTCTATTCGCAGAACCACTCCTCGAAGCTCATCACGAGCACATTTGGCGCAACCCATCTGTCGAAGACCTTTCAGCATCAGATCACGAGTGCTCTCGGCTCTCGTGCAAATTAGAGACATGTCGGATTACGAGTCAGCAACTAAGAACTAGAGTCTAGAGGTTGTACAGCGATATGCAATCTCCCATACAGTAGCGGGAATCGAACAGCAGACCCATGCTTCAGATTCGGCCGCACCCCTGCTGCAGCCGCTTAGAGGTATACTCGCTCACTGCGAAGCACGGTCTGTGAAGCTGGACGGACGCCGGAAACTTTGGAATAACCAGATTCAAGTCATCGAGAGGTGGAACGCTGTGAGAGAGCATACGAGAGGCTTATGGCCTTGATACAAAAATTCAAACCGATGCACATCGATGCAGCCTCAGGGATTACAACGCTGCCGTCGCAAGATGCCAGCATCTGCTTCATCCTGCACTATCCGAGGCGACAGAAAAGAAGAGCGCGGGGAACACAACGGGTGCCTTCGAAGATTCTGCGCCTCTGTCTCAAGATTTGTTTGGGCCTCGTGGTGGCCACGAACAGCATATCTCATCATAAAGATCGTGACTCAATGTCGCCACCTTGAGAAAGGCCGAAAACTGCCGTAGCATTAAGGGAATCCCCAACCTGCAGCAGCACAGGCTGGCAGTGAATCCAACTGAATTCAGCAAGCTTTCACCCCACAGCCTTTCCGCACCTACATGTTTGGAGATGCCTGCCAGCTGATCCAGCACCTGCCGGCATTAGTGAAGCGAGATGCACTTTGCCATCCAAACGCATCAAGCCGCCCAAACAAACTACAGCTATTTAGAACTACAGCTATTGCCATCACCATGCTGTCTGTCCACGTGCCTGCAAGTCAACATCCACAGCACGCTGAACCTCCGGCGCAGCGAGACAGGACCAACCCAGGCGGAGAAGTCGAGGATGCGGAGAGTAATTTTAAAGGCTGCTGCAACTTCTAATAATGACAAGGTCTGCAGCAAATAGTGAGTGAGACTACCACCGCGAAGCCTGCGGATGGACAACTTTGACAGCGACCTGGACCAACATGGGCAAGACACGCGGAGCGATGGCGGCAAGCGGCCCGTTACCTCCACGCTTGGGCGGGCGGTCGATGAGCAAGAACCTGTTACAAAGACACCACGACTGGTGAATAGATCGAATAGACCTGGATAAACTCCAAAATCGCGGAGACGGTGTTTAAGAGTGAAGGAAAGCTGGGAACAACAAGGCGAGAAATTGGCTGCAATCACACCAGCAGCACCAGCAGTAATTACTAGCACTCCTCCTTCGTGCTGCCGGCCAACTCAACAGGTCAGATCTAACAGGCTCAGCTTAGCCTCACAGCCTGCACCCGGAAAGGACTGAACCTCAACTCAAAAGCCGCAAGCATTTGCCCTGCACGGATGCTCATGGTTCGCCATTGTATGCGGGCTTGGATAAGGCATCTCGGATCATCTCAGTGGATGCTCCATACATAGAAGAGACACCTCTGTTACATGCAAAGTCCCCACCCCACCCTGCCTCCACAGAAGCGGTGGAGCCGAGATCCGAGCAACCGTAGAGGCGAAGCCTGTGCGGCCGAAGCATTCCGACATATTGCAGCTGAATGCAGCTGATATCATGCTCTTGCCAACCTTGGATGACGAAGTTGCTCCACTAGTCAGGAGCCGACCACGGTACACCTGCTCTCAGCATCAGCATCTGGTAGACTGCCATTCTTGGCGTGTGATTGCAGCAGTGCAGAAAAGGATCGTGGTAGACACATCATGCAAGGACACCACACGGGTCCAACCTGCGCGATGCATCCAGATCCTGATGCAGCTGCTAACGCAACAGCCGAATGCATATCTGATGGCAGAGGTTAAGCATCAGCTGCAGAAAAGTTGTGGCAGAACACTGAATTGCTTCCTGCGGTTGGGGCAGGGTCAAACGCTTCAGGTCTAGATTCAAAGGCATCTTGCCTACTTGCTACTTCAACTAGTCTCCAGCGGCATTCTCACTCAAGATACTTGTAGTGCTGAAAAGAAGTTGGTCATTGTCTTCCTGATTGCTCCACTTGCCACTGCTCCTAAGACAACGAGGATAAAGTAGCACGTCAGCAGCCCGGGTACCGTTGCCGGCCGGCTGCATTTCATGCGAGCGAGCATGGCACACGTACGTACAGGGCTGATACGCATCCATGGGGTGACGCTAGGACTGATGATTGTGAAGGTTCTCTCCGAAGCTTCCCCACATTGCCCCTCTCGCTGTCCCGGAATGTAGCATGGCAAATGCATCCAGGGGTCCTATCGGCTCTGGCTCAATGAGCAAGTGTCGGAACCACCTGAAGCATGGCCACAAATGCGGAACTCAAGCGAGTCAAGTCTCTCAAAAATCAAGTTCGCCGAACGTCTTGGCATGCCGGCGTGTCCGAGAATGACTCGCGCAAGACCTGCGCCGGAGCAAGCCGAACTACCAAACACAGACCGAGCACTCGGAACACATGCAGGACTGTCACCGATGTCACCAGGACCGAACACGGTGAAGTATCAGTGACACTCGCTGCCCGAAACACCCCACGCTCGAATGCATTGCTGGTTCACCGCAATGGCCACACAATTGAGTCGATAGCATGAAGTGAGTGGCCCTGAAACCAACACAGCAGACCGAGAGAGACCTTGCTTCAAACCGCTGAACGGGCGAGTAGAAGTGCCTTGTGCGTGTGCTGCAGGCTGTGAGGCTCTGTGCTGTCGTGCAAGTGGCCCAGGTGCGAGCAGACGTCCTGAAGTCAAACTCAAGCCAGACTAGAAGCAAGCATGACCATGACGATTGATTGAGGCCCTGCCAGTAGCGTCCCGACATGGCATGGACGTGCACGGACCTTCCCTGCTCTCTCCGTCCTCTGGAATGAGGTCGGGTCGCGTAGCCGCCCATTGCCCGAGCCTCAGGACAGAGACATCTTGCCGCATTCCCCAACGCGGGAGAGTTCGTCCGACGCCGGCACTTCACAAACACCGGCCCGCTGCGTTGCACCTTGAGACAGGTCAACGATGCTCTACGGTTTAGGGCTGCCTGCCAAGCTGGCACCTATGATGCTGGGTTCGAGACCCTCCGCAGAGCAACGGCCCACCACCAGTCAACCTCAGGCGCCATCGCAAGCCGGTGCGGAGCAGAAACATTGAAGCCAGTCGAGACGAGGCACCCAGCTAGGGGCCTGTGGCCTGCATCAGGTCAGTCTACTTGCAAAGCTAGACCACAAGATCCTGCACATGTACTGTCACATGCTAGCCCACTTGTCATGCCAAAAGAAGCCTTCACACATACGATTCCGCTTGTCTTGCAAGAAGAGGGCATGAGCAAAAATCAGCGCCGATGGGCCATCATCACGATCTGTGCCAGCGCTGTTGCGGCTCCGGGTAAGCTGGATGTGCAAACTCGTGAATTGAAGACGGCATCACAGGCGAACAGTGTCAAGCCCCGCACGGCATGCCCGACCACTGACAAGCGTTGCAACAACTACTTCAAGGATCTTAGGATCTGGCTCAAGACAGTGCGGATCGTCCGTTTACTTACTTGCGCCGCCATGGCACCAGCTTCCTTCGCAAGATATCGCAAGATTGTGCCACTACCCCCCACGGTCACGGTGGGTTGCCATCATGACTTCTCCAACGATAAGACTGATTGCCATTATGACGTCTTCATGCCGATTGCCATCCAGCCTTCTGGCTGCTGGAATGCCATTGCAATTTCGCTTGATATTGGACTTCATGCCGACTGATTACGAGCATCTGCACCAGACCGTCAAAAAAATCAGGGCGATAAATTCAAATCCATCGCTACGATCTGACCAGCAGTGGAGGATGGGCTCTCTCTAATTTTCTCCTACCTTCTTCTTCAGCACGCTGCTTGGTCTGAAGCTGAGCGTTGCCCAGCATCGAAAAAAAGAGAGCATGGTGCCCTAATGACTACTGAAGCCAATGCCAGTGCCGCTCTTGTACTGCTACGTATTGGCCCGGGGGGGTGAGCTATTCGATGACCTATTCGATGAGGTATTCTGTGAGATATTCGCTGAAACACTCTGAGAGCTGCGGTGTCGTACTCATTTCAGGGGGCTCTCGTGGGATCGGATTTTGTTTGGAAAGGGGGCTCGCGGTGCACAGCTGTGGTTACTATATCCGTCCAATGTTGCTGGTTGTTGGTGTCAAACTGACATCCGTGGTGTATCATGGCATATGCATCATTGCATGATTCCAGCAACCAATTCGCTCTCGGCTTTCCAACCCTCTTGATGTGTTCTATTCTCGGCGCATATGTTCCTTGTTCAAAGAGAACTTCACGCATTGGGTCACTTGGGGCACATCTTAGTATATGTCCTAACAATGTAATTTTTCTCTGCTTCCATTTCAATGACAAGGGTACATGTTTGTATCCATGTTCCTGAGCTAAGGTAATTTTCTCCTACCTGACCCCCCTCAATTTGGATGCAAGTTTCCCACACTTATGCTGGAGGTTCTATGTTGGTCTATATGTCATCCTACGCTTTATCGCCGCATCGACGCGGGAGATGGGCGACTCCCTATGGTGAACCCACCTGACCATGCTTCCTATGCTTACGTGTTTGCCAACTCTGGGAGACGGTGGCTCCCAATACGCTGCAGCCAGAAATGTCTGGAACATCCCAACAGACTGTCAGGACTGCAGGTGCGCCCGCCCGCACTTTTCAGAGAGGCGCATTTTTGGACCACTAAAAAAATATGATTTGTTCTGTGCTTCCCCACGTCGGACGAAGACAACTCCCACTTATCATGCAACCCTTTGAATTATTCCGCAATGCTGTCCAGGGGAGCCAACATGAGGCGAACCGGGGGACCACGGCCTTCCCATGTTCTATGCCGGTATCGATTGACTTATAAGGCGCTCCATCTTTTAGCGGCGAGTGTCGGGGAGTGGTCATGCGTGCCCCTTGTGCGGGTGAGCTTCATCAGCGACTATAGAAGCCTCCTTTTATACTAAGCTTTTCCCCACGGTGGCCGGAAACTTTACCCTAGTCCTGCCGTCGTCTCACCCGAAAAGGGTAGGGAAGAGCCCTGTATAGACATGCCCATCGTGTACGTAGTTTCACTGGACTTGTTTCCCATGCCGTATGCCGTATGCTTCCGCTGACTTTTTTAATGTTTTCCCGGCACATTAGTCCCACTGAAAGGGCTGCTGACGAGCGGTCTCACCTGTGGACACGCTCTGCGCGACTGAGACAGAGACTTCGAGGATCTTGATCCTGCAAATGAAGCACACCTGCCTCGAAGCGTCGGCGAGGTTGCATGCTGGCGAACATCGATCCTTTGATGCCAGAACCGTTTCTGTGCCGTTGCATGTCGATGCTGCCCGCACGAATGCAGACGGGTGGCTGCCAACAAAGAGAATGCTAGCAACGGGAGCAAGGGCAAGTAAAACCACCTTATTGCGATCAACCGCATCACGCAAAACTCAAGCACATGTGCAGGTGATTTGCAACAGTTCCTGGCCCCTTCGACTGGGCATTCCTTCTTGAGGCACTTTGCCTCTGTGGGGCCCACACAGCAGCTCAAAGGCTCGGAGCAGCACCTCAGGCGCTCGGCCAAGCAGAGAAGCTGGCTTTATCGAAATTTTCCCCACTCCCCGGATTGGAAAGTGCCTCGACCGCGAAGTCCACTTTGCTGTTTATCCTGCAGATCATCATGACATTCCGACATTTGCTACCCCAGTACATATTGCTTCACGCGGCATGGGTGGATGCTGCAGCAAACTGCAGGCTCGTTCGAATCAGCTTGATGGGCAACTTCCCTCTGCTTCTTTCCTGGCCTCTTCAGCAGAACGCTTGCGACAACTGCCTCGCGCGACGGCCATGCTTGTTCCACGACATCATGCCGCACTCCACTTTTTTGGCTGCAACTCGGCTTCTGACGAACGTGAGCACTAAAAACCAGAAGGAAAGGGAACCAGGATGCTCATCATGGCCCTGCAAAACTGGATGCTTCTCGGCATCGCTGACATGACAACACCTGTTGATCGTTGAGGATGCTGCCAGCCACATCGCGAGCCATCGATCAGGCATGAGATGCGGTGCAGGAGTGGAGGTTGACCCTCTGGCTGGTGGTTTGTGATTGAAAGATGTTAAAAGGGTGGCTGACAAGAAAAGCAGTGGCTAGTCAGTGGTGTATCATGTAAGTTGTTTCTCTTGGTCTTGAAACTGAAGCTTCCGACAGCACAGGCTGGCTCGCGCTCAGCAAGGAACCGCAACGGAACATGGCCACATGCTCACGGAAGCCTCTTTACATCCACTTAGTTAATGTCCAAGCCCGGGGTCGACCGTGGAGCCGCGTGCGGCTGATTCTTTGCCACATTGGTCTCTAAACCCTTTTGGGTTCTGCGGGGCCCAGACCGGATGGAACTCAGTACGTTGGCGAGGACGAAACCGCGACGGGCTGGGCAAAAAGCACACTTCGGCATTTCAGAAATCCGAAAGGCTGTGGCCACGGCCTGAGCTGGCATCAGAGCCAAAGGGTAGGGCGAGGCCTGGGCGAGGTTCCGCACTCCTTTGCTCCACTCTGCTCGATGGCTGTGCCGCACCCCAAGCGGCGCCAGCGTTGGCTGGTCCTGTCAAGCTCCCTTTCACGGTCTCCCACCCCCAGATTCCCTGATGCACCTCCCACTTCGCCAGGGGCAGCTCCGGCAGCCCGTCCACATTGCGCTTGGCTGCCTGGCTCTGGTGTTTGTTTGGCTCTATTTGAGCAGCCGCCGCTGTGCAGATCAAGTTGCAGGAGGCCGGCAAGGTGTTTGTGGCACTTCCAAGTGCAACCACATCAGGCGAGTCACTCTGGGGCAACACCATCGCGTTAGAGAGTCTGAGGGCAAGTTCGAGCAAGCATGCCCAAAATCAAAAGCACAGCGAGGGGACCCCTTCAAGGCCCCTCCACCACAATTTGCCCCCAACTCATGAAAGCAATAAGGAAGCAGGCCCAGCTGCCATCGTGTGGCGGAGAGCGAGCTGCTTCTGGAGCTTCTGTTGCTGGGCCATTTGGTCCTGGCAAAGTTAAATGCCCATTGTGATCAGCTTTTGTACACCTTGAGAGCCGCGGGGAGGGAAAGACGGCCCGGAGAGACGCACATGCATACATACGTATCACAGACAGACAAACAAACAGACGCCCAAATAGACATAGATAGGGACGTACGTATACGCACATGCATACATACATAAAGACATGCATGAAACTAATCATCAAACATACAGGCATGCATACATACATACCTACATAC